ATTCAGAGTCCCCGAACAGTCATATCTGTGGCTCCACTGACCTCTTCTTTTCCACCTGAAATCTTGACCACAAATTATTTGGAAAGAAATTAGACCCCAAGGCAAACAGCCCCCTTTAACAGCAACTGTGCCAGGTATACAGGCCGCTTTTATCTTTGTGCCATTATGAACTGCATTTAAGTCAATGCTCAGTTTATCGGTTTATTAAGTTGCCCAAGTTAATTTCTTTATTATTTCATGGAAATCTGAATCAGTCAGACAGACAGTCACACACTAGCCAAGGGGACCAGCTGAAAGCCACCAGACCTGGGTAAGCAGGAACAGTAATACACAGAGAGGTGGGAAGCGTCTGGAAGGCCCAGCACGGAAGGGGGGCCCAGCACAGTAAGTCCCACTCAACATTCGAAGAGGCTTCTGGGGAGAGATTGACTTACAAGTGAAGAGCCTCCAGCCTGCCTAGGCGTCCAGGCCTCCTGCCCCGACTTGCAAGCTCTGAGCTCCCCAGTGTCACAAGAAGCTCCTAAGAAGATAAACACAGCCCCAGTCGGAGAGAAAACTGCCGTTGGATCCCAGCGTGGCTGGAGACGCACAGGGGAGAGGAGTGACAGAGAAGGGCGGTGCTCGTGCTGCATAAGACGCCTTTCCCTTAAAGCTGGGAAGAGGGGGCTTACCCGCTGGGCTGGAGAGGCTGCGGCCAAACCCGGCTGCCCGTGCCCTCCAAGCAGCTGCCACCTGGCAGCGGGGGCCGAAGTCCTCCAGCGCCTTCATCAAAGCACTCAGCACCAGTACCCGCTCCAAGCGAGACCTGCCAAGGACTTCTGGGGGCCCGAGCCAAGTACCCAAGCGGAGGCCCTGCCTTCCTGGCCAAGGAGACCCAACCCTGGCCAGCTGGGAGCTTGTTTGCCCAACAAAGAGACAAAGGCCTTTGTGGGGCCAGGACTTCGGGTGGTCACCAGCTCGTGCTCTCGGCCGTTCCCATGTGCTAGGCGCTGTGCTGAGCACTGGACATGGATCAGCTCTCAGAGCCTCAAAACTGGGGGAGCTGAGGCACAGAGAGGTTGTCTGCCTAGAAACCAAAGCCCGGAAGGAGCAGGGGCAGGATTTGTACTCAGGGATCTGCACGCTTGAAGACGTCCACACCCTAAGCATACCCAACACACACTCATTTAAACACATGGCTACAGGGGAAAGGAGGAGGAAAACGAAGTGGGCCCAGGATGGACGTCGGCTCCTATAAACGTTCAACGCCCAGGCCCTAGGAACGTGGCTCTAACTGGAGACTCCACCTCCACCTGGTTTTCTGTGACCCGACCCCGGACCCATCAGAGGGTTTGCAGTTTCCACTATCTCAATTAATAAAGACATTATTTTTTAAAAGACTTTTTATTGATTTTAAGAGAGAGAGAGGAAGGGGTGGGGGAGAGAGAGAGAGAGAGAGAGAGAGAGACAGACAGACATTGGTGTGATAGTGAAACAGATCAGCTACCTTCTGCATGCAACCTGGCATGTGCCCTGATCGAGAATTGAACAGGCAACCTTTAAGTGCATGGATGATGCCCAACCAACCGAGTCACACTGGCCAGGGCTAATAACGATATTAGTAACCACGTTTAAAGCCGTCCCATAGCTCAGAAAGGACAACCAGGGCCCACGTGGCACAACTAGGGGCCACCACTCAGCGAGGCAGCAGGGCATCCCTAATGGCCACGCAGGGAGCACTTACAGAGACCACGAGAACGGCACCCCCTGGAGTTGTGCAGTGTGTAACCTGCACAACCTTGCACGGCAGCCCTGGGTACCTCCTTGGTGTTCATCCCATCACTGATACTATGCTACAAGGAAGATTTCTTTTGTATCACACTGACTCGGGCAGCTAAGCTTTGGGAATGTTCTGAACCTTGCGGAAGTCCTGTGGCTGGGAACCGGCAGTGCCGAGACTTAGGAACTTGAACCTGGGTCTCTGACACCAAGCCACGCCCCTGCTTATCCCCAGATGGTGCTGCATGTCTCCTACGGAGGCTGCGACAGCACCAAGACAATTGTTCAGGATTGCCTGTTCCCATCAGTGATGATGAATTAGGAGTGTCCACTCGCTGGATTTTATACCACATGCAAGTGACACATGAGAAATGGAGCTTCCTTTGACTAAACGCGTAAGAAGATTGGAGAGCGCTGAGCTGGGGGCTTGCTGCCCTACAAGGGAAGGATGCCTCATGGCACGAGTTTGGTTGCACCCTTCTCCCTCCGGCTGGAGAAGATGTTCAGTCCAAGGTTTGTGCCTTGCCTTCCAGTTCCCCCACAGCCCTGGAGCGACACTCCCTGCAGCCAGCAGGTGACCACACCCCAGATGGGCACTCGGAAAGCTGTGCCGGAGAACCGCACAGCCTTCACCTTGACCGAACCACCGGGCCCACAACAAGGGTTCTTCGTGTGACAGCTTCCTTCCCATGGCAAATGCTGCTGTCCCCGCGTATCAGACATTTATGGGGAACTGAGGGACTGCAATGGGTAATTATGCTCCAAGGCAATAGATGCATCCCCTGACCTGACCACAGCCCACTGTCCTTCTCCAAAAGGCCCTGCCCCAGCCCGTACTGCGGTGGAAGCCATCACTGCAGGGGGCAGGGGGAACAGTGGAGAAGACAGAGGGACTCAGAGCTCTGGAGAGAGGAAGTGACAGGGTTGCCTGCCTGCATATGTGTGTGTGTGTGTGTTTGTGTATAAGAGAACCATGGTGCCCGTGTGTGTGTGTGTAGCTGTATGTATGTGCCTGTGTGTATCTGCGTGCTTGTGCGGGTATCCTTGTGTGTGGTGCATTTGCCAGGTCCGTCCCTGTGTGTCCCTGCGCTTGTGTGTGTCCACATGTCTGAACGTGCTCACCCTCTGTGCCCGCCCCGCTGTGCAGCTGGCAGTGCATAGCTGGCCCAGGGCTGTGCCCGCCCACCGGATGAGAGGTGGCAGGTGTGTAATAAATCATTAGTCACTGTCACGTTTCTGAGCAGCAGCGGCCTCCCCGGGAGAGGCTGACAGCAGGATGGAGCTCCTGGCGGGTCTCTGGCTGTGAAGCTGCACCCCCTACTCTCCAGGCAGGGCTGCAGCCTGATGGGGAGCAGCTGGCAGACCTGGGCCCTGTGCCCCTGCCCTGCCCCAGGCAGCCCCAGGGCAGGGGGCTGGGCCTTGTGTGTGCCAGCCCGGGAGGGGTGGGTAGTGTCCCTGAGGGTCATGGGTTTGAAGCCTATTACCCAGAGCTGAGGGGCAGCTGGGAGAAGGCAGGTCACGGTAACAGCCTCAGGGATGCTCCACGCTGCCTGGAGGAGGCGCCAGCTGGGTAACTAGGCATTATAATAACAATAGCGCTGACACCAGCCAGCACTTATGGGCACTCAGGGTGCCAGGACCTGCACTGAATGCTCTTCATGTCCGGTTAATTAATTCTCACACCTTCCTTGTGAGGCAGGCACTCGCATTAGCCTTCATTCCCACTTCTCAGATGAGAAAACTGAGGCATGGAATGGGAGAAGACATTCGTCCAAGGCTCTGAGTGTGCTGGGGAGCCGGGGGGAATGGCTCCCCCTAAAGCATCCCTGCCCACCACCTGCAAGCCCCCCTTGCCACCTGACCACCTCATCCCCATCAGCCCATAAGCTCCTGGTCAGCAGGGTCTGTCCCTGGCCTGAGGCCCAGCCCCTTTCCTAGCTGAGTCCACATCACAGAGAGAAAGAGGTGGTACTGGGGTTGCCTTGGAGATGAATGCCCCAGATGACAGGAGAACAGGGCAGGCCAGCTGCCTCAACACCCCCTCCCCCGCTCCCCTACCTGCTAGCCTGACTCCTCCCAGCTCTGGCTCACTTCGCAAACAAGCCGAGCTTCCAGCCAGCTGTCCACACAGTGGGCCAGCACAGGAAGGCAGGCTGGGGTCTCGGGACTCAGTCCTCTCAGGGGCAACAAGGCAGGACACACACAGGAACCCACTCAACTGACAGAAATATGGCCCAAGGGACTCTCCTGGGTAAGAACGTGGATGTCCACCACATGCCGAAGTCCAGCTAAAGGGCCCCACCTGGGATCCACTCACTGCCCCAGCCCAGGGCCCACAGGCCCCACAACCAATGCCTCAGGATCCACACTCACAGGCCCATCAGCCAACTGAGGATGTCCGACGGTGCCGAGAGGGGCAGACAGGGTCTCCGTGGCTGGCAGCGTGGGAGTGAAATGCCCACAGCGGAAACCAGTGGGCAGTATCTTCCTAAAGATAATGTCCTTACCCCATCTGGCCCAGCTGAGGTAACTCCTGTGAGAGATGTGTGCCGGGACATGGCTCATTCACAACCGAAAAACCCAGGAATGATCCCTGTGCCATCGGCGGCGAGAGAGTGGGCACACATGAGCCAAGCAGTACAACAACGGAACAGTATATGGCAGTGAAACAGAGTGGTAGCTTGTGACATTCACAGACGCACCTTGGAACACCAAGTGAGGGGGCCTGCCCCTGAGACACAGAATTCAAACCTCCAGCAAAGCTACGCCATAGGATGGTTAGACAAACACAGGTGCTATGGAAAAAACAAACTTGAGATGGTGCTTCCGGCGGGGGGCAGGGCAGGATGCATGAGCATCAAGGTCGATGGACCGTCTAATGCCTGGGCTGGGTATCAGGTTCATGGGTATCCATTACATTAATTTTTAAAATGAATGAGTGCATATAATAAAACACAGAGATAAATAAGTACAGCACAACAAACAAAGGCTGTCTGTGAATCAAGGATGAGCGGGTGTCGAGAAGCAGGGATTCTGATTAAATCACAATTTGGTTTAATCCCTGAGGATGATAAAAACAAAAACATCCAAACTCAAGTACGGGAGACTCTGCCTCCAGGCTCTCAGCCAGAATGCGGCGCTCACGGGGTGGAACTCTGAGCCAGAACTGGCTTTGGGCCCCCTCCCTGCCAAGGCAGCACGATCCACTCCAAGCCCTAGAGACACAAAGAGCTGGCATCTACCTGTGCCGGTGAGGTCTGGTCCGGCCCCGTCCAGGCTGCTCTGCTGACACCGGGCTGGCCCTAGCTCCTGGGCGGTCTTGGGGCCTCTGAGCAGGCTCTCCGCTGGGGTCCCCAGCCAGGGCTCGGGCTCCCGGGCGGGAGGGTGGGTGGCTGCCGGTGCCTCGAGAGATGCAGAGGTGACCTGGAATGACAGGAGGGTAGACATGGTGAGTCTTGGCCATACCTGCCTGGAGGTGCCCCATGGGTGGGACTCGTGGGCTGTTGAACACCTTCCTCCCCCACGATGGCCAGGCCTTTGCAGGCAGGACAGCCTGGCTGGTGACGGGCAATGGAGACTTGGTTCCCAGCAAAGCCAGTGCAATGTCTTCCCCTCGCAGCAAACCCTGCCCGGGAGCACCAGGCCGACTGCTGGGCACTGGTTCCATCCACAGGCCCCGGCACCACCCGAGCCCACGCGGCTCTGCATGGAAGGTGGCAATCAGTCTACTAGGCAGCTACAGCTATAAAGATAAACCTATCCACCTTCAGCTCGCCCAGCGGGGTAGTCATCCTGTCCCCCTCGCCCCCAACCCCTTTTCCGCATTTTAACAATTGTGGTAAAATAAACGTAATACAAAATATACCATCTTGACCATTTTTAAGTGTATAGTTCAGTGGCATTAAGTTCATTCCCAATGTTGAGCAACCACCATCACCATCATCCTATTCCAGAACTTTCTCTTTATCCCAAATGGAAACTCTGTCCCTATTAAACACTAGCTCCCTACTTCCCTCCCTCAGCCCCTGGCGACCACTGTTGTACTTTCTGTCTTTTTAACTTTTTTTAAAAAATATATTTCTTTATTGATTTCAGTACACTAACTCCCTACTTCCCTCCCTTAGCCCCCAGCGACCACTGTTGTACTTTCTGTCTTTTTAACTTTGACTCTCCTGGTCGCCCCATCCCTTTTTCACATCTGGGAAACGGAGGCTCAGAGAGGGGGCGGTGGAAGCCTGAGGATGCCGTCTTTTTAACTTTGACTCTCCTGGTTGCCCCATCCCTTTTTCACATCTGGGGAAACTGAGGCTCAGAGAGGGGGCGGTGGAAGCCTGAGGATGCCAAGACGGGGTGAGCCCAGGTCAGCAGGGCTTCAGATTCGGGGCTCTCCCCTCAGACCTCAGAGGCCTGGGCAGGAGGGGTGAACTAAGCCTGTGGTGGGTTTCAGGGCCTGAATAACCAATTACAGCTACCTCGGGGCCAGTCCCGGGGACCAGCAACCCCCATTTCCTGATTATACGCCCCAGGGCCAGCAGGGCTGCAGAAAAGCAGCTTCACGTTGATCCGGTTTTTTTCAGGGATTAGGGCTATAAAACCAGAGTGCCTAAGAGAGATGGATGGCTCAGAATTCCTTGGGTGAGCACAGGCTCCAGCAGCCCTATGTGCGAGAGACGGATAAATTTACCGTTCGTTTCCGGGAACGCTTTAATTTATGAGATCCATATGGTGACACAGCCCAGACCGCAGCCCCCGCAAATCCCACAGGCGTGCTGGCGGCTTAGGCTGGAGCCAGGAGGAGGCAGCACCTTGGCCCAGCACACGTCATTCATTCATTCACTCACTGGCTTGCTGGGGCTCCGGGGAGGGGGCGTCAACATGGCAGGGACCCTGGAGCCCGCTGCAGATCCCACCCTGGCAGGTTTCAGCTGCTCTTGCAACCTTGCCCTAATCTTCTTGGGAAACTGTCAGGGCTGCTATGTTCGCCATTAGTCATAGGATGACCCGTCCGGCCAGCTCCAGGGAATATTTGGGATTTGAACCCAAGTAGTTAGGAGAAAACTTGGCTGTTGCAATGCAATCAGGGGCGGGAGATGCACAGCTTTTAATTAGAGAACAGCGGGTGAAGGGATGCAGAGGACAAGCTCTAGGGGTTTCGGAATGAAAGACTCCACAGGGCTGGGGAAATCCAGGCAGGCTTCCTGGAGCAGGTAGAGTGTGAACTAGGCCTTCAAGGGGAGCAGGTTTGAAAGGAGTGGGATTAGGAGGGACAAGAGATTCAAGCACACATCCCGTTGGGGGCCAGGAGGGTAAGCCATAAGCCAGGCACTGGGTGGGTGAGAGTGCAGGGCAGCCCTTCTCAGCACCAGTGGGGTGGTTGCATGGAGGGACTCGAGCCCCATCTTGCCAGATCTGATTTTTCAAGAGGAAACTGGGCATCTATTTTTAAAAGCTGCACTCTCATGATTATTAAGTGTTGGCAACTAATCAAAATCATGTCAGAGTGCTGTGCGACCCCCTCCTGCCCTGCTGGTGGGATGGTAAAATGGCGTAGAAGTGCTGGAAATTGCTCAAAAGATCAAAGCTGGAGTTATCATATGACCCCACCATTCCACTCCCAGGCAGATATGCAAGAGAACCAAACACGTGTGTCCACACAAAATCCTGAATGTTCCTAGCAGCCCTCAATCACAGAGATGAATGAATTCAGCCAACAACCCGAATGAACCTGCAGGTGGGTCAGGCAGGTGGGCGTGCAGCCGGGACACACCTGGATGTGCAGCCTGAGCAGAGGACCCGCAGAGCCGTGTGAGGATAAATAATGGGTTGGTGCCGGCTGAATCTGTAGTCGTTTGTTACGCAGCAGTGGATAACTCATACAACCAGCGAGGCTCTAGAATCGTACCTGCCCAGCTGTCAATGTTCCCTAGCACATTGTGTGCCAAGCCACATGCCACAAACACGAGGGCACCAATGCCAGTCCCTCCTCTGTTCTAGCTCTTCCCGCTGGTCAATACTAATGGAGGGAGAGGCTGCCAGACACAAGAAGTGCTGTGAATATGGATTAGCTCATGACAGCCTCGTTTTAGGTGGAGGCAAAGGTTCTCCGACAGACCAGGCGGAGGCCGAGAGCCGCCTTTGCTCATCCTGCAGAGCCGAACTTACCATTCCTCGCTAATAAAAAGCAGGCCCGTGAACCAACACATTCATCGTGCCTTCTCGCTACCAGGGCCGCAGTTGGGGTCAGGACTAATTTAAAATACTATTAGGACCAGGCCTGGGACATGCATCCCCCACTCCACCCCTAAAGCGGCAGCATCTCGGAGCTCATGGGGCCCCACAGGCCGAGCCGGATAAAGGCTATTGTTTCCTTTACGTCCCGGGACTGGGGCCATTACGTTTAAAGCAAGTCAGTTAACGAGAAAAGGACAAAGTGGAGCGGATTCCAGGGCTCTTTCACATAAAGGGGGACTGCACCCCACCCCTGGGCACCCTAATGAGCTCTCGAGGGGTGACACTTTCTCCAGGGGATACGTGGTCTCTGAGCACCACTCAGGGTAGGTTCAGGGAGAGGGTGGCGTGGGGGAGAAGGCAGGCTCCGTGCCCTGCTCCAAAGGGGACGCCGTGTTGTTTTCAGTGCCGTTTGATTTTATTAACTGCATTAGTCCACAAGATCCCACTGAGAACTTCTGCTCTATTGTGTGTTTTTTTAAATTAAGTTTTATTGAGATACAATTCACATACCATACAATTCACTCACTTACAGTAAAGTGTACAATTCAATGGCTTTTGATAGATTTGTGGAGCTGTGTAACCATACCAGACTCCATGTTACAACATTTTCATCAGCCCAGCCAGTGTGGCTCAGTGGTTGAGCATTGACCTATGAACTAGGAAGTCAAGGTCCTGTCAGGGCACATGCCTGGGTTGCAGGCTCCATCCCCAGTAGGGGGCATGCAGGAGGCAGCCGAAGGATGATTCTCTCTCATCTTTAATGTTTCTCTCTCTCTCCCTCTCCCTTTCTCTCTGTGAAATCAATAAAAACGTATGTTTAAAAAAACTTTATAAAATAAAAGAACATTCTCATCTCCCCTAGAAGAAACCTCACACCCACTAGCAGTCATTCTCTACTCCACTCCCCAGCCCCTGGCATCGGCAACCTCCGTTGTGTCTCTGTTTGCCTGTTCTGGATGGTTCATATGAATGGAATCTACAACATTCCAGGCCCTCTGTGTCTGGCTTCTTTCACTCAACATCATGTCTCCCAGGCTCATCTGTGTTGTAATGTGTAAAACACATATTTTTAAAAACAAGGGAAGTTCCGGTTTGAGGGCCCATCGCATCCCAGCGGTTGCTGGACGGAAGGCTCAGGATTTCTCTCTCCAGCAGGGACTGGTTGCTGTTCCTGGGGCCTGTTTCCCTCTGCCTCCAGGTACCCAGCCGGACTCCATCTCTCAGCCTCCTTGCAGCAGGGTGGGGCTGGGCACTGGGTCCTGGACACTCTCCCCAGCTGGGAGATCTTAGCAAAGTGACGGAATGTCTCCCAGCCTCAGTTTCCCTTCTGCAAAATGGGAGTGATAGGTAACACGGGGACTGCCTGCCTCCCAGAGGGACGGTGGAGGGACTTAGATGTTATTTCTGTTGAAGTACTTAGCACATAGCAGGTGCTCAAGAAACGGCAGTTGATTTCATGACCTGACAGCATAAGCGTTAGGAACAAAAGTCAAAACGGCACAGTGGCTGGGGACCCCAAAGGCCTGGAGGGGTATGTGTTAGAGAAGCCTTCACAGCCTTGGCCTTGTGCAGTTCAGCCCCAGCTGCCAGGACTGCCTTCTAGGCTCTTTGCCAGCTGCTGGCCTGAAGGCCCAAGGCAGCCCAGGGGTCCCTGAAGTGAGGGGGACAGGATCTGAGTCATATGCTCCCCTATTTTTCCTGATCATCCTGAGTCTCCTCTTTTCCCCCCCAATAAGCTCAAGATGCACTACAGGAAGCTGCCGTGCCGATCCTGAGTAGAGCAGACCTGGGACATAGACTTCCCAGTCATGACTGATCTGATCTCAGTGTATGCCTCTGGGAAATGGGCTAGTAATGCCTACCCTTGATATACTGAGCACCTACCATGTGCCAGGTGCCCACTGAGCACCGGACATCAGTAGCCCATTTAATCCTCCCAAGAACCCTACCTTAACTGCCACTTTGTCAAGGAGGAAACTGAGGCACAGAGAAGTTAAGTCAGCCGCCCAAGGTCCCCCAGCTGGTCAAAGTCAGAGCCGAGGTTCCGGGCCAGTGCTTTGTCCTCTGTCAAATACCTAGAGCCCACAGCGCGGATGAGACAGGGAACAGACTGTAGGAGACAGAAGAGGAGATGCCAGCACCCAGTGGCACAAAACAACGCAGCATCACCTTCCTTTCGCCCCGAAGAAAAA